GGGGGGGGGGGGGGGGGGCGAATATTCCCCGAGCCAACGGCGCGAAGCGTCGTGCGAGGGTACTAATCCCCCCTGGCGATTTACACCCTGGGAAACGAAAGCATTAGCGAAGTATAAATTTCATCAATAATCGCGGGCGTGGGTGACCAACGCTGTTGGGTGTTGGGTGGGCTGCGAACAGCCCTTTATTACACATTTGAAGCATCTCTTGAGGCATCAAAGTACATGCATGCACATTGAATTACATACAAGTATGTGACATAAGCCCACCATTGCACAACTTTGTCTGAAAAGGCACCAACACAAACAAGCTGGAATTGGATTTTGTCGGTATTTTGATATATATATTATGCATGGCTGATGTCTAAATCCACCTTCACTTTTATATTGATATTATTCTAGCATCATCAAAACAAAACAAAACATATTAGAAAACTGTAACATCGGCAAAATGAGCAAATCACTTTTTTAACACAATTTATGGTAAAATGAAGCCACACGCTGCACAATTTCTGAATGAATTTTAGTCTCTGAAACAAAATCAAATCATATCTTACTCAAATGTTGTAAACAGTGTTGCATATAACAAAATATTGTCGCATTTCTAATTGTAACTATAAACTAGAAAATACATGCATGCAGAAACTCTCGCCTTCTGACAAAACCATTATTACATCTACATATAATTAAGTCGGTAAAATCTACAAATGATATCACACCAACTATTTAAAACTAAAATATCTATGATGTACGGTATATAAAATTATAAAAAAAAGTTCAAGTACATAGGATAAAATACATTAGTCCTGATTGTCAACTAGGTATTCTAATAGTTCAGACTTGAAAAGTTCAAAGGAATTTAACTCGGCAATCTCTGCTGGTAGACTATTCCAATGCCTTATAGTTCTAGGGAAAAAAGAATAAAAGTACGTGTTCTTTGTGGCTTTGTCTTGTATATATCTATATTGATGGCTTGCGCGAGTTCTAAGTTCGGTGTTTGGATTCAGATGAGTCTCGGCGTCGACATCGATTTGCCCTCGGCTCATCTTATATAACAAGGCTAGCCGAGTCATTGTTCTTCTTAGCTCCAAGGTGGTCCATCCTAACTCGTGTAGCATGTCTGTGACACTGGCTGTGGGATGATGATTGTTGCTACAAAACCGTGCTGCTTTTCTCTGAACTCTCTCAAGAGAAGCGATGTCCTTTTGAAGATAGGGATCCCAAGCAGCACACGCGTATTCAAGTTTTGGGCGCACAATTGCCGTGTATGCAATTTCTTTCACTTTTTTAGGGCAGTTCCAAAGATTTCTTTTCATCATTCCTAAGACTCTGCTTGCTTTACTAGAGATAGTAGAGACATGATTGGACCACTTCAAATCATTAAAAGTGACTCCCAAGTATGACATCGATTCAACTTGTTCCAGTTTGACCCCACAGAAGGAATATACCCTCTGGGGTGGTGTTTTCTTGGTAGAAATACAGATCGTTTTACACTTAGAAGGATTAAATGACATTTGCCACTTATTTTGCCACTCTTCGAGTTGTTGTAAATCTTCCTGGAGTTGGTCACCATCTTCCTCATTTGACATTACGCCATATAGTAACGCATGATCGGCGAAAAGTCTGATTTGGGACTTCAGATTGTCCGGCAGATCGTTTACGTATAATAAAAATAAGAGTGGTCCCAACACAGTTCCCTGCGGCACTCCAGATGTTACCTGGGTAGGGTGGGAATGCTTGCCTTCACACACCACTGTTTGAGAACGGTTAGTTAAGAATGACTCAAACCAATGAAGCAGGGATCCATGGATTCCATAATACTGTAACTTAATAATAAGACGTTTGTGAGGAACTTTATCGAAGGCCTTGCTAAAGTCTAATACTGCGGCATGAATCGACTTATTGTCTTGGATCGCCTTGGCCATATCATGAATCGCCAGGATTAATTGCGTTACTGTGGATCGTCTTGCTCTGAATCCATGTTGTACATCTGTGAGAATCGCGTGTTGTTCTAGGTGTTTCATCACATGACTATGAATAATATGTTCCAGGACCTTTGATGATATGCAGGTTAGTGAAATAGGTCTGTAATTTGCGGGATCTGATTTGGGACCATTCTTATGCACACCACACACATTAGCATGTTTCCATTTAGATGGTGTACATCCACTATCGATGGAGGTTTGAAAAATTGCTGCCAACATAGGGCCAATTTCCGTTGCATATTCTTTAAGAAACCACGGGGTATCTCATCTGGGCCACTTGCTTTAAGTGGTTTCAAGGACTGTAACTGTTTAATGACACCTGGAATTGTAATAATAATGGTGCCAATGCTCGGTTTCGGGTCTAGACCGACGGGAGGAATATTATTAGGATTTTCGTCTGTAAACACACTAGAAAACTGTTTACTCAGGAGTTCCGATTTCAAATTCCCGTCACTTATAATTCTGCCATCAACTTTGAAGTCAGCTACGCCAGGATCCTCATTTTTTAATTGTTTAATATACGACCAAAAGCGCTTTGGATTTTCTTCTATCGCGGTTCCCAGGAAATCTGAAATATACGTTTCTCTTGTAGACTTCAAGTCCTTTTGCAGTCGTTTCCTAGCAGTCCGAAATTCATTCCAATGTGCAGGGTTTCCTGATTTCTTTGCCTTATTGTAAAAACGTTGTTTAATTCTTGTTTTCCTTCTAAGTAAGCGGTTGAACCAGGGGAGGTTGTATCTTGAGCTGGACATTTTGTGAGGTATACAAGTATCCATTATATGTCGGATATTTCCTTCAAAGTCCGCCCACATCTTGTCAACTGACACATCGCTTGAATTAGGTTCCTGATGCTGAGTCGTAATTAATGTTTGCAGCTCTTGCTTGATACGAGCAGAATCAGCTTTCTTCTTAATGTAAACTTTACGTTTAACATTTCGTTTCCGCTGGCAAGATGTCTTGACAGTAAATAGGACAATATCATGGTCACTTATACCATCGATGACTTTGACTCCGCCGATAATATCCTTATTATTCGATAAGACGAGGTCCAAGATATTTTGAGTGGTCCCTTGTCGCCTAGTCGGCTCTTTGACAAACTGGATTAAGTCATTGTCATCAAGTACCTCCAGGAGCCTTTTAGACGCTGTAGTTAAATCGTCTTGGTCGAGTGGATTATCCCAATTGACGTCTGGTGCATTGAAATCGCCAGTGAGGATTACATTGTTCTTATGTAAAGCAGCTCCCATTTTCAATAACGATGTATTTAGCTCTTCAAGACTTTTCATATCAGATATATTTGGTCGATAGTAAGACCCGAAGTAGATAGATTTTGCAGTTCTTATTCCAGCCAACTGACACTGTGTCCATATAATTTCACAATCAGAGTCCCACTCAGAGCGATGGGTCATTATCAGGTCATTCTTTACTGCTTGGAAAACTCCACCGCCCCTGCTGTTATTGTCCCTGTCTTTTCTGTAGACCTTATAACTCTCAGGGAAGATTTCGCTGCTGTTTATATCAGGCTTGAGCCAAGATTCATTCCCAAGAACAATATCAGGTTTATACTCGTTTATGACAAGAGCGAGATCCGCTATTTTGTTCTTAACGCTCCGGCAGTTGACGACCAAGCATGTTAAATTGGTTCGTCTAGGTAGCTTCTTAATTATTGTTTCTATTGTGTACAGGAACTCTGCTTGGTGGTAGCGATTCTACTAAGGTAGTTTGGTTTAGCGGTTCAAAGACGTTTGATGAATTAAGTGAGTCTATTGAGCTGTCAAAGAATGAATCTGAAAAGTTTGGGAGACCACACGTCGGGCAAACCCACATGCATGAGCTGTTTACTAAGGTGCTATACACAGCCGGGGATATATCAATACATTTTGTATTTACATGAAACCAGTTACTACATTCGCCGCACTGAATTCTCGCCTGGTTCTTCTTATTAACAGGTTTAAGACAAATGCCACAAGGGAACTTCCAGTTATGTCCAGGGTTTACTTCAACATCTCCACCAAGCAGTAATAACAACATAGGAAGTTGTGAAGGGCCGTTCAAGCGGCCAAGTCGGAAAATTACACACGATTTCTTTGCCCGACTGAACTCTCGATACCCACTTTCATTTCTCAGTGATTCGGTAGTATTTCTTGAGATTGTTTGAGTACAAGTCGTTTGTAGATCTTCACATATATCTAAGTCGTAGTTTTGTACAAACTTGCTCCATTTCAGCTTCAATTGACAGGCAAGATCGTCGTCCGGAAAATTTTCTGGTTTGTCGGAAAAATTCTTTGGTTTTTTGGAAAATTCTTTTGTCGGAAAAGTACTGCCCTTGCCCCCCCCCTCCCCCCACCCCCATACCCCACCTCCAAAGAAAAACATGGGACCCACGGCGCCACTGGAATCATATAATTGGGACAAAACAAGCAGAACACGAGCTAGAATGCTGTATAAATTGCGTCGGAGTTGGATCATGTGCGTCTGCAGTATATTATATACAAAGCTTCTGGAATCGGTACTATATATATATGAGCTAAACAGTATTTAAAATACTCATTAATAATTCGTAAACCTTGTGGCAAGTCATGTCAGCCATAATATGTCAAGTAGAGTGACTTTATATCTGATAAAGCACAGGGCCGCCGAGAGCTTGGTGGGGGCCTAGGGCAACTTTTTCTTAGGGGGCTCCTATTCAAAAAATTTTTCAGGACGAGTACGTTGTAAATGCTTTTGTGGGAATTTCCAGCAAATATTTCATACCAAATTTCGGTTCTTTGCCCGAAGATATTTCGACCCAAAAACGGAAATATTTCGCTTAAAAAAATGACTGGCGCCCAACAAAAAATTTCTAGGGGCCCTCAGAACGTCGGGGCCCGGAGCAATCCCCCCCCCCCGCCCCCTCGGCGGCCCTGATAAAGACGAGGCATTGTATAATTGTTCATCCTAATTAGTATGATTATATAATGGTTTAACCTAATTAGTATCCTTTTGTAGTATTTAAGCTATTCAAAACACTTGTTGTCGTGTTTTATCAGACATAAAACGCTGGGCTGCTGTGTTTCAAACAGTACATAAAACATTATAAGACAATGCACCTGTTTCAAACCATGTAAAGGGGAATTACGAGTATTCAATATTTATTTAATAAGTTTACATTTCAGAAGTTTACATCACGAATTTCAAACAGGTCACGTCCGCTTGGGTCACCTGCTTGCTATCTCTTTTTGACACAAGGCTACTCCGTAGGAGTATTTGTGAGTCTTTGCCATCAACCACAGAATCAGCTATTTCTTTTGTTTTCCTCCAGTCTGCTTTGCGTGGCTGGAACCTGTCGACCGGTCAGACCGGTTTAGAATGTTTGGTGATTGGTTGTTTTCACAACGCTTGCGCTTTTGGATGAATTTCCATGTCTGGAGTTGATACTGCGGTGACGATTGACTTTTTGCTGCGCCTTAATTATCTCTGGTAATATGCTCCCATTAAGGACCAAAATACCACTGTTCGATTCAGCGAAAACTATTGTACTTACGGAAGTCAAATGTATTACTAAACAACATTATTTTAGCGATTTATGGCCTTTGGAAGTCAAACGAAATTGTATTGTTGACAAATCGCTCAAAATTATTAAACTAATTAAAAATGCAGTACGTTTGATCGTTCCTAACTTTGGTACCGTTGGTTTCCTCATTTTCGACCGTGTACCGGTGGAATCGTCTCACTTTTCTGTTCATTTTGATAGTATTTTGTGTCCAAAATATTTTGTTTTGAAGGTTATAAAGAGCAGTTTTAATAAGCGAAATTGTATTGTTGTCATTTGTTGACAAATCGTTCAAAATCATTAAACTAATTCAAAATGCAGTACGTTCGATCCTGCAAACTTGGCATCGTTGGTTTCTTTGTTTTCGACCGTATACCAGTGGATTCGTCTCACCTTTCTCTTTATTTTGATAGTATTAAGCATGTTGAGCCCAAAATATTTTATTTTGAAAGTTTTAATTGGCGGCGACAGGAGAATGTAGCGTACTAAATTATATAAGTTATACTAGAAATACATGCATGCAATAACCCCTCGCCTGTTTTCAAAAGATGTATACTCAGTGCCGTTGCTAGCACTTCGTCTCAGGGGGTGTGTGAGGTTAGATAGAGGGGGGGGGGTTACCAAAATGTTTCCAGATGTACAAAAAATTTTCAGGACATATAATAATTTTTCCGAAAATACAGTTGTTTTCCAAATTCACTTTCTCATGTCCTGAGAATTACCTGAATTCCCCTAAAAATCTTCTGCAAATCTACTTAAATTTACCTAAAAGTGCACTGGAAATCTACCTGAAATTCCTCATGAGCAATTATCAGGGGTGTTGCACCCCCCCCCCCCCACCAGTGAGTTTCACGCATTCACGCAAACACTCTCTGATTTATTGTTCGTGTATTTCATCTCCCAAAATTTTGTGCATCATACTATAGAGCATTTTGCTGTTGTCATGCTCTAGCGTGGTTCAAATTTATGAATTTTTATTATATAAAGTATAGTATTTTATGTACTATTTAAAACACGAGTAGGAGTGTTTTATCAGATATATAACGCGAGGCGCAGCCGAGCGTTATATATCTGATAAAACACGACAACGAGTGTTTTGAATAGCTTAAAATACGACTACAAAAGAATATTAATTTGGATGAACCATAGTATAATCATGCTAATTAAGGTGAACAATTATATAATGCCACATGTGTTTTATCAGATATAAAGTCACTCCACGTGACATATTATGGCTGACATGATTCGCCACAAGGTTTATGAATTATTAATGAGTATTTTAAAGAGATTTCGAGTACTGATAAAAATGATAATCTCACATGTGAAATTATTCATGATAATCTCACATGTGAAAATTATCGCCTTTTCAATTATCGTTTTTCTGTAAAAATTATCGCTTTTCAAAGACTGTCCTTTATATAATAAACAGAAAAATACATGGGTGCTTGGAAATACCAGATTTATTTTTCGTGTTGAACATGACATCTCACTCGTTCGATGCGCTCACTTGTTCGCTCCGCACTCATGTTCAACACTCAAAATAAATCTGGTATTTCGTGCACCCATGTATTATTCTCTATTTAAACTACAACTTGACTGGTTTAAATTATTATCAAGTTATCAGTGATAGTAAAAGTTGCAGATAGAAGTGTTTTGTTTTATATTATTATCAAGTTATCAGTGATCGCAAAACCTCCAAATCCTTAATTTCAAATGTTAGAATGTTAGTATTTGTAATCCAAGTGAGAATTATATACATTTTAAGACCAAACCAGGAACGACTGCGAAAAATGCAGCACAAGGTCCTCAGGTAGGAATTGAACCTACGGTCCTGCGATTCCGATGCAGCGCTCTAACCAACTGAGCTACAGAGGCCAGCTGTTGAGCTTTAACCGTAAGTTCATGTATATTTAGGTAAGCGGGTGTGCGGGTTGTGATAAGGTGGACTTCAATAATTTGGATTCTTGCACTTCACTTGGTGGAATTAATATTAGAATGTTAGAATGTTAGGGTAGTCCAAGTGAGAATATATAATTCCCTGGTAGAAATCCTATGCAGGATCCTATAGGATCCTGTAGGATCCTGCAGGATCCTGTAGGATCTTGTTAGGATCCTGAAATTAACAGGATCCTGAATAGGATCCTGATAGGATCCTAAAAGTAATAGGAATTGAATTAGGATCCTATCAAGATCCTATAATCAACAGGATCCTGACTAGGATCCTATAAAGAAAATCTAGGATCCTGGCATTTAATATCAGGATCCTAACCAGGATACTATAGAAAAAGTGACAGGATCCTGAATAGGACCATATAAAGAGAATCTAGGATCCTGGCTTTTAATAACAGGATCCTAACCAGGATACTGCAGGAAAATTTACAGGATCCTGAATAGGATACTATAAGGAAAATCTAGGATCCAGATCCTGGCATTTAATAACAGGATCCTGGATACGATACTACCAGAGCTTTCAGTAAATAATAAATTGAAACGTCGTGAAGCCTCTGGTTCAACGGGAGGGTTCTTTGATTAAACCGCGCCAATCACAAAACCACTAATTCCAACTAACAACCAAAACTAAAACCACTAAATAAATTCTGTTTTGTGATTGGCGCGTTTTAATCAAAGAACCCTTCCGTTGAACAGAACCTTCGCAACGTTTCAATTTATTATTTACTGAAGGCTCTGGAATCCGGGGTAGCTAGCGATAGATTGGGAGCGCTTTTTGGTGTATCTATTTTAGAAGACAAGGGCCCACGCGCGCAATGAGTTATGGGATATCGTGTATCAAATGTCAAGTAAAGTGTGATTTTTTTCGTTTGAGCATATTTCGATGAAGAAAAGCCAAGGAAAAGCTATATTTCGTATTGGATAAGTGACACCGAATCCTGCCAAAGCCTTATTGATCTCAGGTATGAAATGTTACTGTTTATATCATATTTTTATAACGTCTATCGACACTATTTATGCATTTTATCTTGTGGCTGTTGGCCATTTGTGGCTGCTAAAATTTGAATTTTGGGCGCGCGAGAATATTTGTATTGAATTATTTCATTTCAATGCCGTCAAATATTAGTCAAAATCAACAATTCAAATTTTGAATAAACACATTATAGTAAATACTGGGTTGCACTTGTTTGACAAAACTCGATAAAGCATGTTTTAACCCACATGGGCACATGGTATATTAAACAATAGGGCCATTTATACAAGCAAAAATATTTAAAGACGCGGCCTATAAAATAAGCCGCGGCTTTAATAAGTCGTGAACGACTCATATAAACAGTTGCAATAAGCCGTGGCTAATTTAGGTCTAGCTTTCAAGCCTGGGCTCTTATTTTAGCCGCGCTTCCGAACAAATTGACTGTTTACACGAGTCATTCGCAATTTATTTTAGCCGCGACTTATTTATTATTATGAAAATCAGTGCTGTGAATACTCGTTACAATTGTAACGCGTTACAGGCTACTCGTTACGTTTGCAGTAATTTTAGCCTGTAATTAATTACATTTTTGAAAAGGAACGAATTATTGTAATTAATTACAAAATAAAGGAACGCGTTCCTTTTGCTTTAACGAATGAAAATTACAAATTCCTTTGAGCAAATAATTTACAAACGCTTTAAAAAACGCTTTGTTTTCCATTTTTGTTAAATCCAGAAAAATTTCAATAACTGATTCAAACTTCAAAGTGCCAGTGGAAGTTGTTCAATTGAACTCTAATACTTCATGTAGACTGTAGTGTATTGATATAGAGAAAAGCATTGCCGCCATGCTTGAACGACTGCGAAATGCTAATATGAACGCTTGCATGAACGTCGAATGCTAATATGGTAGACCATGTTGTAGACAACGACTTTGTCGATTTAGAGAATATAGAGCCAGCCGGGCCCAGTGAACCAGAGTCAGCTGTAAGTGGAGAAGAATCAGAAGACCTTCAAGACCAAGAAGGCAGTCAATCTGCCGCTGTGCAGGTATTCAACGCGGGAAAAGAGGAACCTCCATGGCCCGAATTGAATAAATTTTTTTAGTGTTTGTTGTAAACGCAACAGCAACCTCTCGTTCGAGTGCCTTTTGTGTAAACCGAAGAAAACCGTGCTTTCCACATATATTACATCACACCCCAACCTTCCGTGCAGCTTGCGAGCATCATTTTAGCACTAGTGGTCTGATACTGAGGTCCCACCGAAACAGTTTTAATGACAAACATTTTGAAGCATGCCTCCTCTCAAAGCTTTTAAATAACTTAAAGTTTTGAAATAGATTCAAAACATTTTAATTGATGGGTGTATAACCGTTGAGTTGTTTTTATCGTTTTTCTTCACTTTGCGAACACTGAACATTTATACAAAATTACGATGTGTAATTTGTAATTAATTACATTTTTAAATGGTAATTTTGTTACTGTAATTAATTACTTTCCTGAAGAAGTAATTGTGATCAGTAATTAATTATATTTTAAAGAAAGTAATTTTATTTGTAATTAATTCCTTTTTGGACGGTAATTTTGCAGCACTGATGAAAATTGATATTTGAGAGTAGTAAACTTGAGGAAATCACAATGTTATCTATCTGAATCATAAAATTGTTAACCCAATATATAGAATTAAAGCAGAAGAAAGCGCATACACGAGGAATTGTGAAAAGAAGCTGATTGATCAATAGGGGATTCAAGGTTTCCGACGCCATTGGCTCAGGGGGTGCAAACACATTGGGGCGAGCGCGCGGCCAGCGCCATTTCCCATACTATTTCCTATTAGGAGTGGGAAAATTACGTTTGCACAATTTGTTGAATTTCTGCAAAAGTATTAAAGAATCGTTCAATTTTACAAGTTGTGATCAATTTCTGGGTATTTTCTGATGTCTGTACGGGTTTTCATCGGAATCAAAGGCCTGGAAGTGTTAAAATATGGCGAGTTTGTTGGGACGTTTTGCGAGCTGTTTATTATAGTTTAGTGTTGTTTACATGTCAGAGTGTATATGAAAACATTTGGTTACTTCGAGATTTAACGCCCGAAATGGATGAAATTTTCGCTGAACATAAATATTTAACATACAGGAAACCACATGAAGTGCGAACATGTAATTTGATATCTCGTGCGCCTCGCCGGTGCTATTTTGTCGCTTCAAAACCTGTTATCAGTGGTGTCGCATTGCAGTTGATAGCTTCGCTTCGCCGAGAAATACAGATCACCGCTTGTGAAGAAGTATTTTCGACAGCTCTATTCTCTTTGAGGAAATTAAAAATATTTCTCGTGCACCAGTGAACGAATTGGACGAGACAGCCAGAAAAAAGTCTGACTTATGAAGATTTTCTGACCTGGACGAACACCACACTGAAAGATTTTCTTTTGAGTATTGTGTAAATAGTATATATAATATATATAGAGTGTATAAATGTACAGAATAGCCTGTATATTATGTATATGTATACACTATAGATATGTAGGATATATTGTATATTCTGCAGCCTATATAACCAAACGTGTATATAGTTAGTGACTAGTGTATACAATGAGTGTTTGAGTGAATGTCAAAGAGTACATATACATGCACTAATAAATACTGTATATGCAGAATATACTGTACATATATTATCGGTATTTAGTCAAAAGTGTATATGAAGATATAGTGATTAGTGTACAGTATATACGTATATACACAATATTATCAGTACATCACTATATACACTGTATATACTTTTAACTAGATAGACTAGTGTTTGAGTGAATTTCAAAAAGTACAAATGTACACAATATACTCTAGGTATATTATCAGTATATAGTCAAAAGTGTATACAGTGTGTAATATAGTGAGTGAATGTCAAAGGACAAAGTGTAGCCATATACTGTATACTGTGTATATAGTGTATACGTAGTCATAAATACACAATATACTCAGCCTAGTTCCTGGCCTTCTCGCTTCCGCCTCGTTATTTTAGGGGGAAATCGATAAGGTTTGCAGGTTGACCGGGATAAAGCTGTATTGCTTGGATACTGGGGAGAGGCGAGAAGCGAGAAGGCCTAGCAAAATTCGAAAACTGTCCTGATTTGTCCTTCGCGTTGGGAGTGGGCTCTAGTTTACTTCGATAATTTTTTGTGAGTATTTTATAGACTTTACAGTAAAAATTGTATTTAAAGAAGCATTTTGATGGAAAATTACAGGTGCTATTGCCTTATGTAATGTTGGGAAAGTGTGATTTGCAAGTTCTAAGCCAAGGAGTCAACACTGAAC